TGCGGTGGAGCAGAGGCCGACCTGGAGGCTATAGAGAAGCCCACACCAGGACAGGCAGCTGTGTTTAAAGGAGGCCAGGACTCTGAGGGGAGAAGCAGCCCCCGCTGTTGTAGTTCTAGTGCTGGGAGGATTGCAACATGTGGGGGTGACACACACTGGGGCAGCTCAGGAATGGCTGCATCCTGTGAGAACTCAGGTCAGAGGAAGTTTGTGGAGGACTGTCTCCTGTGAGAGGGGGACCATGCTGGAACAGGAGAAGAATATGAGGGGTTCCTCCCCTCACCCCAAGGGGAAGGAGGCAGCAGGACTGACTGCATCCCTCATTCCCTGTGCCACTGGGGGCAGGGGGTAGAGCAATCGGGAGCAAAGCTGAGCCTGGGAAGAAGGGAGGGATGGGGGGAAGGTGTTTTTAAGATGTGGTAATGCTTCTCACTGTCCTGCTCTGTTGAGTGGCGTTGTTAGTGTCTGTATTAAATTTATGTTATTTTTTCCTTCCCTTAGGGAGTCTGTCTTTTGCCTGTGACCGTAATGGGTGAGTCACCTCTCGCTGTCCTTATGTCAGTTCCCAAGCCTTTTGCTTTATTTTCTTCTTCCCCATGCTGGGGGGAAGGGAGGAGTGATTAGCTGCATGGTGCTCAGTTGCCCTCTGAGTTCAAACCACGACACTGAGTTATTCCCAGTTCAATTTTTAAAATTCAGTTTTGTTCTTGTGAATGAGGCACCTCGAGAAAGGAGTGCTTCGCTATTATCTTCCCCGCTAAACCTCCTAAAAGGTGGAGGATTCATTAACAAAAGCACAAAGTTATACTTAACTGTATTCTGGATAACTGACACCTAAAATAGGTATAGTTACAGACCACTACTTGCTTTCAGCTCCTGGAACAGGCACAAACAGATCACATTTTTCCAACATCTTAGTTGCTGTTCAAAGTTCCTTGCCATTTTTTTTTCCTGTATACATTCCTGTATAAATATATATATAGTTATAAATTCAGTATTCTACAAACACTTATTTATCAGCACTAAGTCTGTGCTGTATAGGTGACTTCAGGTTAGTTGGGTGTTGTCTTTTCTATCTCCTAACTGACTGAGAACCTGGCTTCCAGCTACCTGCTTTCCTAGTGAAGCCAGCAGCAGGGAAAGCTTGCAGGAGCAGTAGCAGAGAAGCCCTACTGGGAAATTTTACATAACTGTAAATCTTTTTTTTTCTTCTCCCCACCCCCCCTTTTTTTTTTTTTTTTTTTTTGGCGTTAAACAGCCCTTGCGTAAAACACCATTCTTAGAAAAATGTAACCACAGCAAGATTTACTGTCTGAGCATTGTGTTTAATATTTTTCCCATTCATAAAATACTTGTATGTCTGGACATGAGACTTAGTTTGACGGGTGTGTTTTGATTCTTGTCTGGCTCATTTAAACTGCTTCTATGCTGGTGCTCAAGCAGAGAAGGGGAAAGAATGATTTTCCAGCTCTTCTAACATATTCTGAGTTCCCAGGTGTAAAATTCAATTGCATGAGTGCTGGTGAAAAACAAGCACTAAGAGGGGGGGTGCAAAGACCAGCAAAGTAAATTTATTTTTTTAATTGGGAGCAAAGTGAGCGCAATCCTCAGAAAATGCAGCATAAGAAGTTTGTATTAGGAGCTTGTTTGTGGAGTACCTTGATCTCAGCTAGATGAGATGCAGTTGACATTTGGCTGACAATACTCTAGGGAAAGCTAGAGGACAGTAAGAAATAAGATATGCGGTGCAATTAGCTGCGGTGCCAACCCAGGAACAAAAGTAAACCAGCACAGTGTGGGGACGAGAGGATCTTTCAGAATCACGGTCCAGACTGCTTGTGGATGTAGTACTTCCCCACTCCTTGTACATTCTTTGGCAATGCTCTGAGTAATTGGTTTGTCTGCTTATAGATCCTGGAAAACTGCAACTGAATTTGGCTGCTTCTTGTCTCCCATTCCCCATCCCGGTATGTGCTGGGATACTGCACCGTACCGTGAAGCAGCTGCCGCAGCCCGCAGCTGCTGAGGCTCCCCGGCTGCAGGATTAAAAATTAAACTAATACACATTTACGAGAGCAGGATGAGTAGAGTCAGTCTACATTTTTGAAGAGACTGAAATGACTGCAGGTGTGTCAGTTGCTTTTGAATCCTTGAGATTTACTGATTATTATACTGGGCAGAGAAATGGTCTCTGTTTACCAACAATTTCTGCTACTTGATAAGGTGACTGCCCAGTCATCTGCCTCCACCAGTTACTCTCATGGGAAAACAGTATCTTTTCTTGTAATTTTACTCATGGATATTTTGCAGAATTTCCGTATTCTTAAGTCTTACCTTCCTAAAGGAAAAATACCAAAATTTCAGGTTTCTTTTCTTAGTCTCCAAAAAGCTGTAGTAGCCATTACAGAAATAAGCAGCGACTGTCACATCAGAAGCTAAATGCTGCATCTGAGCTTGTGTGCTAACCTTTGGATCTTCCAGCCAGCTCTTAATTTGCTGAGGAAAAGTAGTTTCCCTGGAGAATAACTGCAGCAAAGTGGGCTAAAAACGGCTCAAAAAGTTGACACCCCCCCCCCTCCCCAAACCAACTTAAAACCATTAAATTATCCCCTTTCAAGTAGGATCATTAACATATTACATGCATGTACGCTTTCATTTTGAGGTAATGAGCAATGTCAGGTTAATGAAGAAATCATTTCCAGTTCTACGGGGCTCCCCTTTGGCTACCGGCAGTTCCTGCGTCGCCGGTGCCACTTTTTGTATCGACACCCGTAGGAAGCGAGTGGTGTCAGGAGGTGGATGGCCAAGCACTCAGCGGCACATCTCAAACAGCAGTTAACCACTCCCAAATGTTTTAAATCAGAGGAGCACAGTAAGCAGAAGGAAGGAAAACTACCACCCATAGCATAAATGAACCAGGGAGATGCTCTGTTGGGAGTACGGCTTGTTGGGAAGGGCCTTGATTTACCACAGACAAGAAAAAAGCCCAAACCAACCCAACCGACTGGTAAATCCAGGGATGACTGCAAAGGTTAGGGACAATGCCAAACCATTACAGCTGCTTACGGTGCCATCTTTACAGAAGAACACCCTAAGGGATTGCCTTCTATTGCTCAGAGGTAAAGATGAGGGACATTTTGACTCTTTAGAGCCCAATAAATTACGCACTAATACACCAAAGAAAAATAATGGAATTCTAATCTTACATGATCTCAAATTCATGAAGGTTCAGTGATCTTATCTGTCTATGCATCTAAATAATGTCTTAAATTAGCTGCAGAAAGGATCTGATTATTTTTTCTACTGCAGCTTCTTCCCTCTCCCCTTAGTATTTTGTGGCAGAGTGCTGTAGACTATTTCTGCAGCTTCAAATGTATGATTAGTTAGTCAATTATTGAGAGTCCTCAAATCACATGTTCTTTATCTACCTGTAGAAACATTTTTGTCTACCTTGATCATACTCCTTTTTATTAATCTTGTCCTCAAAGCATAATTTCTTCTGAAATCATTTTATGTCCCTAAAAGGTTAAGGCATCCTTTGTTTTGCAAAGTGGAGGATTTTTACAAAAAGCCTTCATCCTTCCTTCTAACAAGAACAGGATGTGAATAACTTTGGTTTATATAAGCCTTCCTGGAAAGCACAAGAGAAACTCTGGAATCAATAAAAGCTGCAGTGTAATAGCATAACGAAGTAAATTTTTTGTGAAGGTACATTGCTCTGCAAGGATACATTAAGAAGATAAAACTTCAGGCCTTGGTTTTACAGAAACTGTATAAAATACAATAAATTACTGGGATTGTTCCCTTATGTCGCTTTAGTTAACGGAGTACATTCAGTAGAATAACATGAATATATTATTTGGCTAAGTACTGATTTACTGCCTACAGGAATTAAGAAACTGATGTCCAAATCTGAAGAGTTGTATCTTTTACCTAAAAAAAATGACAGTAACAAGCCTTACTTGACCTACAAGCTTACAGAATTTAGGGCATAAGAGATGCAAAAGCAATAGGATGATGTGGAGCAAGCTCCTTTAGGTTCACTTGACATGCAACAGCTCCCTGTCACTGCTCGCTACCAGCGCTTAGTTACTCAGCTGACACGGGTAAGCAAGGCAAAGCTGCACGGAAGTTTTATTTGCACAGCAATTTGAAACCTGACACAGTGGTCGGACTGCAGTAATAAACTGTAGGACTTAACAGGAGAAGGAGGAGAACCAGAGTGAGAGTCACAAATTGGCTCCGCGAGGCATATGCAGTGTTTTGAAAACTGGGGTAACACTAGAACAAATGTTTTCACTGCTCTTCTACTATGCGTGGGGTGAAATAGGAATCGGGAGAACCGCTTGTGCTACAATGCAATATTTCAAAGATGTAAACAGTCGATACAGGCCTAGCTCTGGTTCTCTTGCTGGCAACCCCGAGGGGTATTGCCCGTGGCTCTGTGCTGGTACCATGCAAAGAGGCTGCTGTTACTGCCTGCATCTTTGGTACCTTCAACTCCATCTTTGGTTACTAGGTAGCCATGACAGCTTGCTTGGGTAGAATGTATGAACTCACCCTTGGTTTTACTCAGAACTTACAGCAGAATTTAAGACTGTGACTCCTAAGAAACTGGGGAGGAGGGAAAACTTACTCCAACTGTGTAGTCGTTTTAAAAACTACACCCCATTTTTCACGCCACAGAGTTGATAGCTGATCACTTTGAACAGCTCTTCATTGACTCAGAACATGGCAGCTGGCAGTCCGAGCAATGAATCAATCTGATGGCAGCACATAGCTCACAGTTATCCTGCAGCTTCCAGATCAACACATACACTAATGCACCTCACAGGGATTTACTTCATTAAATCAAGAGTAAGACCTTTTGTCACTGAATCATCCATTCCCTCATAAAGCAGAGTGTGCTGCTTGTCCATATTGCACAATTAGTAGTACACGCAGAGAGACTTAGGTGCTTCTCAGGACAAAGGCAGAATAATAATGGTTATAGATGTAGATGGATATATATAATATATAATTTAAAATTTTATTTTAAAACTTTGCGCATACACTTCTTCAGCATCTTCCTCTTTTGTTCATTGCACTGAAAAGTTTCAAAAAACACAAAATATATCCCTTTACTAAACATTTTTTGTTCTTAGGTTACAAAAAGATTAACATTTCACAGTCACAAAGCAGAAGTACATTGGTCCAAAACATCTTCCTCCAGCAGGTCCTCTGTTCTTCAGGGCATATAAAACCTAGACAGTTGTACAGATCTGAAAACAATATGACTTGTCCAATGAAGAAAAATGTGGCAGCTATTAGAAAAAAATAATCCCAAACCAAAATAAGACACCTATGAAAGAACACCACCAGCAATGGTTAAAAAAAAAGGAAAAACAGTGAGAGTGGAAGTGGACAAGGGCATCCTCCTTCAAGTACATCACAGGTAGAAATACAGCAGCACCGTTACAGCATTGTTTGGTCACTCTCTCTATGGTAGCCACATCACTGTATCTTCATCTAAGACATGGAGGAAAACTACACAGCAAAAATGTCAGGGAGGAGCAACAATTCCACACAGTTTGCAATTCATGTTTGATACAAAAATGTTGAAAGTATTTGTACATAAGATGTAAAATAAAAGCAAAACGCCAAGGCAGGAAAAAACACAGTAGATTTGCTTGGAGTGTGTAGTGTTCTTTAAAAATGTAGCAAAAGTTCAAAGCCAAAATCTGCCCAAACATCAAGTGCAGTACTTCAAAAATATCCTGCAGGCACAGTCTCGACTGTACCTCACAGACCTCTCCTGTCGTATTCTAACACAGAAGTGACTTCAACATGGAAATCTACTGCTAACAGCAGACTCTGACCACTTTTCCTTTAGCTTGTTAGCCCTGTTGTGTTTTAGTATTAAGAAAATTCTCTCTCTCCAGCATGAGGCCACTGAACATCAGCCCTCTCAGACAATACACTTCATGAAGGAAGCGTCATTGCCTTAACGTTCCCAAAGGTGGTCATGTGCCTCCCTGAAGGCGTAAATTTCCACCCACCTTCATCAAATTAAACAAGTATTTTAGGCTGTAGTGCAAGAGAAGCGTGTCCAAAATGGCTGTACTACCTTCTGCAACAATATTCACAGGAGAATGGTAGAAGCTTCTTGGTTTTGAGTTTCTAGAAATTGGACTAGACTAGGAACCATATGACTTTGATTACACAGTCAGCCAACCTGAACTACAGGGCCTGCTGCTGCCTCTCCCTGCCTTGGTCCGAGGAAGGACAAGCCTTGCCTGACTTTCTAAGCAGTGCCTACGTACAGGCCAGGACACAGAACGGTGCAGCAGCAACATGAACACAAACGTAACTCAGGACTGAGGTTCCTTGCTGCTCAGGCTCAAACAGTTTTGGATACTAAGGGAACTTCACTGGCAAAAACCACATAGTGCTGCCAGCACCAGGCAGTAACTAAGATGATGTGCCAAGGATCTAAAATTTGTACTTGGTGCCCAACTTGCTCCAGTGTGAGAAGGTGAGCTGTCTGCTCCTACCTCAGGAGTTTCACTGAGCCCTAGAGCAGCTGAACATGTGCCTATCTGAAAAATGGTATTGTGCACCGTGGATCCTCCCTGCCATCAGTGGTTTTTAATGCTGTGACTCCCAAAATAATTCAACCTACAAAGGGAATTGGAAAGGTTTTTAATTATTCTTGCTTCTCACACAATACCTCTCCAATAAGTGACTTCTGTCTCCTATTTATATGATGCCTCAGCGTGTATATGTATTTATACCATGCCTTGAAGCAGAGCACAGACCACAGTGCAGGCAGGTAAGAAGCTCCTGCTGAAAGCAGACAGAGGTGAAAGCTCACGTACTAACAGAGTATCAGAGATGTACCGGAGATGCTCCAGGGAGGTAAGCATGTGTAACGGAGACTTTGTAAAAAAGCAAATCAAAAAGCATCACAGCATAGTTTCAGTCACATACGTCTGAGTAGGAAACTTTTTATTATTCTTTAAGGGTCTCAGAATTTATTCACTGATGCTAATTGATATTAAGTGTTGATACTGTACTTCTGCCCTTTCCAGGAGAGGGGCTGACTGACAGCAGTATCTCAGGTGGACAACAGACACAGTGGAGGGAGGCTGATTCACAAAGCCATACACCAGTGCCCACAAGATTCTGCTCTGAGAAGACACCAGCCAGTTTGCTCCCCACCAGGTCACGCACTCTGCTAACCTGGCTCTCCAGGGGTACATTTAAAAATGCCCCTCAGTGAGAAGGTGCATTTTCCACTGCCTTGTAGTTTCACTTTCAAATTTTGGCAAATGCTACACTGCAAATTTATTTCCACCACATTGTAATCAGTGGTTTTATAATGACTGGTATGTGTGTTGACACCATGTTACCAAATAATGAGGACTAACAATGCATAAGCACTGAAATATTTGACTCAGGCTTGTAGCTGGTACCAGCAAGCACCAGCTTCTTTGCTGTTCAGATGACTGCTGGAATTGCCAACATTAGTTTCTTTGTGAAAGAAGATCTGAATTGCTAGAGGACTGCACAACTGCATTTGCGAAGAGACAACAGGAGTTACACAGAGCATGAAAAGCATGTTTACAAGTTTATTAGGCAAAAAAAAAAAAAAAAAAAAAAGTGCGAGAAAAGATCTCTTGCTTAAACTTTAAAACATATGAGGTGGGCCATGTGAAAAATATTCTAGACTCCAAACCTCTCTTTTCGCTCAGCTGCACACAGAAAAAGAGGTAAAGGGAAAAAAAAAATAAGGAAAGAATAGATAAAAAGCATGACAACACATAATCAGATATGCCATTGATTTATGCTGAAGCTCTAGAATATAAACCATCCGTGTTCTGCACAGCTTTATTACATGCAGGCACTGGGGAATGCACTGAACAGTTTTAAGGCTAAAATCATGCATTTTGCTGCATGTTTGAGCCATTACACACTCTGCGTTGCCTCCTCTCAACCTGAAACTCCTACTGGGTCTAGAGGTTTAGAGCAAGGGTATTTTAAATCCACTGAGACTGTTGCACATGTACTTCCAGATGCAATCGAATAAAGCATCTGGGCAGCTATATAGCACACGCACTGCGCGGTGTTTACACAGCACATTTATAAAATACAAAACTGGCAAGCTCTAGGCCATGCCTGTTCAGGAGAAAGTCTGCAAAGGGCACAGCATCCTCCTCCTCCTTTAGAAAAGACACAACATTTGTGAGCTGCCTAGTCAGGGCCCTACAGTTGCGTCAGCTCCCTGTCTTTTGGCTAAGTAGTACCAACCACATTAGCAGCTCTGAAAGAATGTGGTCTGGGGGAAAAATTAGGTTGAACTTGGCTCCCCAGCCCATATACCTGCCTATACACTAGAATATTCTGATTCTGTTTCTTCTTCAACTCCTGTCAATGAAGTCAGAGAGCTGCCTGCTTGAAGAACAGGCAGCCAGGTTAAGTTGCAGATCTGCTCACTTGTTTCCCTCTTGGACTATTGTTTTCACTCTAATTATGTTTTACTCAGATTTTCTTTATTTAAATTGATTCATCACTGCTAAGAAAAAAGCTGCTGAAGCTAGCTAAGGGCTTGTATCTATCACAGTGATCTTCTGATCCTTGTCTACAGTCCTCAATATCAAGACGACAGAAAGTTATAAGCTGTCACCAAGACAAGCAGGCAAAGGTATACTGGATAATAAATGAGGCAGGAAGAAGTGAAACGACATCTAAATAGATCATTATCTGGGTATACAAATTGATAACGAGAACAATACCACCCCTTCAAGTAGGAATCCACCTAAAAATACACTCAGGAGCCCAAATAAATGTACTGAATCTCAACTGATGTAAAAGCTGTATGGTCAGGGATCCTTTCACCAAGATAAAGCAGGCAGAACCATTCAATGAATGAAAATCTTTGATCCCAAAGAAACCATGGCCTCCAGGTAAACATCACATAAAGCTGAGTTTGCGTGCTCTGTATAATCATGGTATACACACAACAGAGAATCTTGACAAATAACTCCTCACACCAGAATAAACCTTGCCATACAGACTGTGACCTACTTATCCTGGACAATTTTGCAGGTGGCTGTTTTAGCTGTGGTAAACAGGCACAGTCACACTGAAAACAATTTCAGTTTTCCTACTAAAATACAGGAGTATAGTCTACTGCAGAAGAGACAAGAGAGGAAAATGAGGGTTCGAAGGGTTACACAAGTTTGAAGTTGTCCATAGGTAAGTCACAAATGCAACTTTTTAAAAGAAGAAAACTCTTGAGTCTCATATATGTATATATAGGTATTTTTAAATGAAATATGACCCAAGTCCCCTTCTGAATACTTGGGGGTAGATTTCAGGAGCCTCCTGGGCTTCTGATACCCACTTCTACTTTCACAACTGAAATGGCTCTTCCAAGCTACATGGTAAACTGAGAAAAAAAAAATTAATTCCCCACCTGGAGGGACAACAGAATCCATAATATGCTAGCAGCATTTAAATCCCATTCCTGTTAAGCACCAAAACCATTTCTATAGGGAAAATGTAATCTTAAGGGTTATCTTTAATCATATACAGTATATGTGCAGAGCCCTACCTTTCGGGCAGAAAAATACCCCTCCAGCATTAGTTTTGAATAGATTACATCAATTGAAAGTGTCCTGGTCAGATCACCAAAAACATATTGTCTCTTACAGGCCCTTCCCCAAAAGATCCCCATCCTATAACCACTCTTGATGCTACTTTCACGACTGTTTGTTCCCGTGTATTAAAGGGATGACGTAGACAGAGATGTCGTCTCCAGAGCCCAGCCTGTCGTTGGATATTCGCCAGCCTCGGTCCTTCAGCACTCCCCTGGCTCGCATCACCAGGTCCTGCGCCGCCAGCGTGTACCTGTGGAAAAGGCAGAACACAGCCAGGGAGTGCTCGTCTTCGAGAGGAAAGTGGGTTTCACAGCCTGCCAGATTTACCGCTGTGAGCTACCAGCACAAGCCTCCCCGTGTTTCAGAAGCAGGCAGGAGAAACGCAAAGCACGGCACACCCACAAAGCAATCCCTTCCAGTTCAGGTGACAGCTCCTGCATCAGAATCTAAAGGTATCGGACGAGCACCAATCGATCCTAAAAGTCACTGGTCATTTTGGGTGCCTGGATTCACCAGCTTGCAGAAAAACATTAACATGTTTGTGTTAACAAACTGGCTTTCTAGGAGTAGTCGGAAAAAACGAGGACCCCAAATAATACTGGTTGCTGTTGAAAACTACACCCTTGTTCACTGACACACCTGAAGGTAAACATAGCTCAACTATTTCAGACGTAAACCACAACAAAGTCATTTGAAAGCAAGTAATAAAGAAATAAAAATAAAATCCAAATTACACTTTAAACCAAGCAGACTAACTTATCTGTTTTCCTTGACCACAGGAATGATTTTTAAATCTCTCTTATTCTGAAACTGGGAAAGGAAACTTACAGTTAATACAGCCAGATTAACAGAGTCCCACAGTTCTTTCACATTTGTGAGTTCAATGAGAACTGTGTGAATGCGAGTTGTCAAGAGCTGAATTTAGTGAAACACCAACTTTCATGCTACTCCAAAACTCCCAGCACATGCTGGGCTGAGCAGCATTGTATTTATGGGAGTTATTTTGTATCCTGAAAAAATAACAGATGCTGCTCAGGGGCAGAAAGAGTCCAAAAGGTGGTGCACAGACAGTGTTCCGTCATGGGCTCCAACATATCGTCCCTTATCATTTTACCTGCTGTTACTAGATCAACACACCCGTGTACTCATTTAGACATTTCCTCTGAAAGAAATCTCATTATGGGTGAACAGCTACTGTCATGGGTATTTCTTCATCAGTCCAACACCTGGCTGAGATGTTTTGAATTTGGTTGGGCGGAGGCAAGCTTTTTTATGATTTGATAATTAAAAATTAATCGAACAGTTAAAAGACTGACAAGAAAAAACAGTTCTATATCATGTCTGCCTGCGTTTTATTTGAAGCATAATTATCAACCTTCCAAGATGATGTGGGGCTCTATGAAGCCTAACACATGGGCCACCAGAAGCAAAGCACACCTCCGTAGTTTCCAGAAACCAAGACATACAAGAAGAGCTTGCATTTCAAGACCACCTTCTCTAGGGAGGATACTTGGCCAGATCCAATCTGAGGAACAGGAAAGGAAAGTATCTCCACTGGTCAGAAGCAGTGGCGGGGGAGGGAAGTTTATTAAGTGGGTACTCAGGACTGTTCTAAGCCCAGAAATTTTCACCAGAGAATGCATTATTAAGCGGTAGTTTTTATTAGTAGAGACTTTATTCATTCTCTGGGGATAAAAGAAGGGAAAAATGCCAATTATGTTCTGTTTCTCAAATTTTGGTGCCTTAAATAACTCCTTTGAACCAGGAATAACTTTATTTGCTCTACTAGAAAGACTTCTTCAATGCAAAGAAACCAGCATTTGACTAACCAAAAGGTTTAATGTTAAATCCAAGTAACATTGTACAGAAGCAACACACCCCTGTTCCTAACGATAGTGATAAAATTTCCAGCCCTCTCTAGTTTTGACAAAAGATTTACTTTTCACAATAAAAAAAGGGCCCAAGGCACGAACTCTAACACACACACACTTGAACACTGCCCACATGTTCCGAGGTAAGTCTGCACCAATGACCTCGAGCTGTAACGGCAGGATATAAGAAGAAGCGCTGCCCCTAGTGTCCTAATGCAACATGAAATTCTATTTTCTAAGGAAAAGAAACCCAAACAGACATACTTGCACTCCCCAGCTCCCAAATCCCCAAATTAGATGCAGGGCCTAAGGAACAAAAGGACTCCACGTGTCAAGCAAGAGACCGGAATATTTATTCACAGCATGTCTGATGCTGAGTGAATTTTGGCTAGAACATCTTTTCCAAGGATTTCTCAGCTATTGTCAGAATTTAACAGAAGAAAACACCCATCATTCTGAGAGAAAACTTTGCCTTCCTCCTCCTTCTAATTAACAAGGGCTCCCCACATCTAAAGAGTACAAAGGAATGAGTATTGCTCTTGATTGTGTAAAGCTTTTGCTGCTTAATGTTTGGAGAGGGCAAGATAAAGAAGAAGAAAAAAGGAATTTTAATAAACCAGAAATTCTCTCATAGACAGACTGTGAAATACACAAGAAAACCAGCACATCGAAGCAAAGGAAAAGGAACGGGTGAAGGCAGCAGCAAGGTAACATATTCCTCTCCTTGTGCAGAGCTGAATTGAAGCAATGCTGTTCAACTTGGCACTCGAGGAGATAGGGCGAGTCTCTTGTACCTGGAGATGAATAGCAGCAGCAGTCCATTACCGAATGCTTTATTCTCCAGCACTCTGAACTTGGGATTCAGCTGTCGAGACAGCATTAGAGAACTGCTGAAGTAGTTTTAAAGTATCCACTTCCTCCTAATGAACAGCCTCGCTGGAATACAACTTTTGTGTTTTAAGAATAAATATATATGGGTTTTTTTCTTCTGCTGAAGCTTTCAGTATTGATCAGTGAAAGTACTGCAGGAGAAATGGTGACAGTGGGGGAATCGTGCTGCTGTCTGAGCAGCTTCTTATCTTCTCACACCCAGCAGAGGTGGAGCAACTCCTCAGCATCCTCATAAATCTCTGGCTAGTGTGAGAGAGAGTGAGAGGGAATGAGAAAGGACAGGAGGGAGGACGAGAAATAAAAGAATCCCAAGGTCAGTGGGTAAACCTGCTTAAGTGCAGCTGAAGGAAATGGGCAAGAGTCACGCTTCTCCATCTTCACACCTCTTCACAGAGATGATGTACGGAAAGCAGCAGTGTGTTGCTACCACCCGTTCTTCACTCAGGGTCCCCTTCATCCTCTTGTCTGCTACAATACCCATGAGAAATGAAGTGGCTAAGAAATCCAGCTCCACCCCAGCTTCTTCCTTCCACTGCAGCCCTCATGGAGGAACTGTTCTCCAATCAAGTCTGTGCCCATTACCCGCTGCCCGAATCCCCTGAGGCTGTGTCTGCACGTCTGGGTGAAGACAGACCCAAGGAGTTTGCTGTCTCTGCACCTGGAGATGCCCAGGCATATGCTATGTTTGACAGGATTCAAAGATGCTTTTTCTGTGGGTAGCAAACACTCACAGTTCTGACAGTAAATATCAGCAAGAGAGAGTCCCAAGAGTATTGCCGAGGGCTGTAGGCTCTTACCCATGAGCCTATAAAATTACTTCTGATTCAAATGGGAGGGATATTGTTCCCTCAAAGAGCTAATTACGTAACAGATAAGTACTCTGCAGCTCTAAAGTCTTCCTCCCTAGCTTACTTTTTTTTTTTTTTTTTTTTTTTTTTTTTTTAATATGCTGCTGTCAGGGAGTAAGTGCGGTACTGGGTCAGATGGATCCAGAGTCTGCTCTACAGGTAGGTTCTCCAGAAAGGCACAGCATTACCAAACCCAAGGGGCAAGTCTCTTACATTCTGACAAGTTTTCTACATCCCTGGTGATTTCACATTTCCAGCTGATCACCTCACCACAGACTATGTCACTACACCGATCACAGAATCTGACATTTTGTGGAATAACGTTTCCTTTAAACATAACTGATATGGCAAACAAGATTTTCCTGTCACTGACTAGTGAGAGGAATGAGCGCGGCTCCAGTCTGAGCTGCTATGCTATTGTAAATTCATTAGTTATACCTCATTTAGACCACTGTGAAGTAATTACATAAAACCTCTCACACAGTACTTTAAACCCTTTAAATATTCTTTACAACTGAGCAGCAAGAGCAATTCCACAAAGGTAATTTTCATAAATATGATTGTAAACTATATGAGGGACTGCTCTAATTACCTTTTGCAAGCTGGCATGAGAAATGTCTTGTCACCGCTATTTGTAAGCCTCTAAATGGCCTGGCACAAAGTTACTAAAAAGAACAAATTAATTTTCAATTCAGATGTCCATTCATAGACCAGTAGGTCAAATACTAATAAATGTGTTTGCTCTTATTCATAATACAGCAAGCCCAATTCTGGAGTGTGTTTTACTCACACTGGGCACATACAGGGAATAGTCCCCCATAATTACTGGAGCTAGACCAGCACAAACAAATCTAAATGAAACAAACAAAATCTCTATTTGCCTTTGGTGTCTCTGATTTCTATGATTGTTTTATAACGCATGAAAAATTATTCGCCTAAGAAGTCAAGAAATTGAACAAAGAATTCCCATTCCTACTGCAGCAAACATGGTGGCCATCACCAGCTTTGGAAAAGTCCAAAAGAAACAAGACTGACACAGTACACCCAGACTGTATTCGCAACAGACAGGACCAGTGAGGATGGTAGGAAGAGCCAACCTTTCCCACTTACTAGATGAGAATGGAGACAGAGCAGGGCAAAGGTATTACGTTTTACAAGATGCCTTTGCAAGAGGCGACTCAGGGGTGCAGAAATGAGAGCGAAAGCTCCCTAGCACCTCTGAACAGCGCTAGGGAATCACTGAAAGTAGATTGGGTGGGTCATCTCCTCCTGCCTTAAATTAATGGCATATCTACATAGCCGTGAAATGCCCTTCGCTCATCCTGCCTGATCTCCCAGAGAGAGGACAGAGACACCTCCCTGGTCTTGCTGAAGTAAAGACAACCCTGGCTGTTGTTCACACCACATCTTTTTGGTGCAGGGAGGTGGGGAAGGTCAAAATATTGCAGTTGCAGCTTCATGCTAATCATCCATTGCCCTGACAACTGAGTGCTTGCAGCAAAACCTCTTTTTTGCATTCCATGTTTGTCAAGCGTCAGGGCAAGAAAATACTCCTCATGAGTTATTTTGGAGCTGTTCTCACATTAAAACTCAAGTTGCTGCCAGGGTGTCTATACCCAGTTACCTTCCTTGTTTTCTGATGAAGAACAGGGCTGACACTGTGAAGATGACCACTTAGAAATGAGAAACACTAAGCATTTAGAGATGGGTTTCCCCATGTCCTCAAGAGTCGCCACATTTAAACAACTGTAGCTTGAGCTCTCGCACCGTCCCATGTGTTTCCACTCGGCTGCCGAGATATCCCAGAGCTTATTTCTGAAGCTCCACTTTGCACACACCAACTGGGGATGCGTAAAAGCTCTTTTCCCCACTCTCAGCCCAGGGCGAGAGCAGAAGACAGCAACAGCCAGGCCTGAATTCAGGAGCAACACACATTTCCCTTCCTGAACAGTCCCTGGGGAAGGATAAAGCTCTTTCCACTTTCACAGTCCTCCCTTTTACAAGCGAGAGACTTCTGATCTCTAGCGTAGTGTTTTAATTCACGGTGACACTGAACTCAGCAGCAGACAGACACACTCACTCGAAGTAGACAGGCTCTAGCTAGCTGTCTGGGAACTTGTTTGTTTGCATGATGGTATATTTTAAAGACAGAAACTGGTCGAGTAAGAGGTGATAAAGACAGGAAAATAAAGAGGATGAGGTAGGTTAAAATTGCGAAATGAAATGTAATCCAACTAAATTTATCAGACTTTCCACCTATTGCCATCTAATTTGTCACCACACCTGTCCTGCAGCTGAGCATCCCCTACTGAAGGTGGGTTTAAAGGTCGCAGCATGACCAAGAATGAGTGGGAACCACAGCGTGCAGTATTTATACATACATACAGGGTGAGAGAGATGATGATGATGCCCTAGTGAGAAACAATCTTTAGCGTTAAGGAAACCTCTGACTGCTGGAGATAGAAACCTGTTGCCATGTTATTCTATGACCTCAGCCTCCTGAAGTTTCCACAAGGCCTCCTACAGCAAACAAAATGGATCCCATGCCAAGGTACTGTGATCCCGCAACTATTCATTTGCAGGCAGGCAATTCTGAGTTATAACAGAACCCACCCCACCTGCCCCAAACCCCCATACTTGCTGTAGAGGCTCCATCCAACTTATAAAAATGTCTTCTTGAAGTGTTGCATATTTACTGAATGTTATTCACACCACACTTTCTACAAAAATAGTCTACCAGAAAACACTCTTCTACAGAGAAGCTAGAAAATCAGGGATGAGCACGAACCTGTGGGGATCATCAGGGTCACAGTTTGGTAGAAAGTTAGTGACAGCTTCTGCCACTTCTTCATTTAACAGCACATCCCAGAGCCCGTCAGTAGCTAGGATCAGAACATCATCTGGCCCATGCTCGTACTGCAGGAGGTCATAGACTCTCACCTAAAACAAAAAAAAAAAACCACCACAACACAAGAGTCATTCATGAAGGAGGAGACCATCAGACCTGTTTCTGAAACACTGCTGAGTTTGGCTGTGAGCTAGCAGGTTTGGCCAGGGCACTGAAACACCTCTCCCGTGGCACTGCTGGGGTCTGTCTCCAGTTCAGCCCTTGAGATGGCAGCCCTCCCTGCCCCGGCGCCGCGCCGCGCGAGTGCTGACCCCAGCCGGGATGGATGCAGGTGTTCCTCAGCCAGGCCACAAAACACCGTGCGTGGGGCCCACTGCCAGCAGTGCTTGAATCCCCTCCCCCCCGCCCAGTTTCAGCCTGTGAGGCTCTTCCCTATCATTGGCAGGACTAGTCATATGGAAGCTGAATAATTTATTTGATGAATTTTTTATATTTTCTAATAAAATATTCACAAATAATTGTTTTCACTATTTGTCCAGATCCATTTAACTCTGCCAGATAAATTGCATGTTTGGAAATGACTGGGTGGCAGAAGGCATCACATCCACTTTTCTTGACCTGAGGCAGCTGATGCACTCAAGAATTACGCCTGAGCAAGTGACTGGTTCCACAAAACGGAAGAAAACTGTTTGCCTGCTCTGTTATACGCATGTGTAAGGAGTTCAGTAGGTAGAGTCCGATTCAAGATCTACACAGAAGTAAACCCCCAAGCTAATCACGACTATTAGAATGCTCACCGACTTCACCTCGTCAGTCTGCAGCCAGTCAGGCAGAGCACTGCTGCTGGCACCTCTGTAACACCCTGCCTTTAAAACAGCTTCCACTGCCCTCTTCCTGATGAGGCTGGGGAAGCCGGGAGCAGAGGGGGCAGATGTGGGGCAGGAGACCATCAGCTGAGCCAGAATAGGAGGAAAACTCATAGCAAGTGTTTTAAACTGAGCCTTTAGTTGGGTGCAACTCTCCGTCCAGCACACACTGTATTCCAGCTGACAAACCGCCTGCGATTTCCAGGCTGCGGTGGGGAGCCGTTACAAAGCACTCACGGAGCACTTTAATTACCACAGCAAGAACCACAGTTTGAAAGAAGCGTGACAACCTTGGCAAGGCAGACAGGAGGAAACGATCACCTGTGCTGAAGTTTGGAAATGGTGCACCTCATCACGCACTCTACTCTGGCCTTGGGCTCCACTAACAGCAGTGACAGTTGGGAAATTTGTCAGAACAAGCATTTAGCATAACTAGAAAATATGAGCTGTTTTATTCTCCCTCCTGGTGCATTCTCCCCTTAGGAGCCATGGAGCAGGCAATGCACATAAAATGCCTGGACCTTTTAGTGTAATTATGATTTTATAGAACTGCCACCAGTACTGGAGGAAGGAAAAAAAAAAAGAAAAAAAAAAATCACCTAGCCCTGACTGCTAATCCTTACTTGTTCGCCTTTCACTCAAAAGCACAAGAAGGTCATTTGTAAAATGTAACCTTCACTTCATTATCTAAGGTAGCAGCTGAATAAGGACTTTGGAGAGGATTAAAGGCAAGGCAAGATACTCTCTTCATTAAAGCATATCTCCTTATTCAGACTGAGTGGGAATACTGTTATAGAAAAGACCCCTATATGCAAGCCCAGCTCTCCTGTCAAGCCCATTGCACAGAAACCAGTAGCTGTCACAGTCCCCCCCATCACCTAGAATTTAGTTCAGTCTCTGAACAGCCCAGGGTTTCAACTCGGAAATCACTGGGGTGTGGAGAGTAAGTTGGCCAACACAACCATCAATAAGCAGCAAATGTTCTGGTCAGATCTCTGGGGTACGGGCAAATATTTGAGACAGCATTGGGGTTAATGCCCAGGGATGCACTCAGCAGCAAGCCCCTCACTGGAATAACCAAGTTTCAAATGTCAGCGGTAGGAAAAACACATCTACCATGGCTCTCCCACCCAGGCAAAGTACACATTACACTACAAGAGCCTCTTTTTTGCAGCATTGGTGGGGGAGAAGGCAGGAAACCAAGACTATGCATCACAGATTTGAATCCTCCTGAAATGAACAATCTTCTCAGACCAGGGAACAGCACTGGGGTGAATAAGAAATTTGTCAAAGCTACCTTCAGCCAATCCACAGGTCAAAAGGTCCAAAATTCTTGGTGTAGTACAATGCTAGAGCAACAACAAGAATAGATAATTTTACCAAGAATATGTTTCGGTTTTGGGGAAAAAAAAAAAAAAATGCAGTCACTGATTTTATGGGTAATTTGGGAACCGAGCATCTCCAGAAAGGAGTGCCACTGGGAAGGAACTAGATGTCAGAGAAGGGCAGCGGGGTGAGCAATACAGGATGCCAGGGATCCAGGCTAAGGAAAAGAATGTGCCAAGGTCACAGGAAGCAAGCTTGGGACAACTGCAGGTAGGATTCACGTATACAGGGGCCAGTTGGACGTGCAACAAAATGACCACTGAAATGCAGCTTTGTCTGCCTTCCAGTTACCACAGCAGCAACATATTAGGGCAGCCATGTCCACAGAATACTTAATTTTTTCTTAAGATCTTTCTTTCTGTCTTTCCTTGGATTTCTGAAGTACAGCTAGCTGTAGGTGCTCCCAGCATGTCGCTGACAAAAGTTAGTTAATTTAGAGCTGTCCAGTCTATCATAGGTTCAGGTTATGCTCACAGACCACCATGCCCAGGCGCAGAAACAAGCCAGTTCCTAACCCTTCACTTCTCTACTTGCAGCCTTGTTCTAGCTCTTATTTGGGTCAGTGAGGGTCTCTTGCAGCAGAGACAAGTGCCTTAATCTGGACACGGAGCAGTATGACAGCAGAGCTCACAGAGCCACACAGGCTGGGCTGCACAACCAAGGCATGTGGAATGGATACTCAGACCAGCAGGGCCACTGAACACCCCCCTCCACACACCCCCACGTTGTGCAGCACCCCACAGCATACTCCATGCATGCTGTACAGAAAAGGCACAGGAGCATGATGTGCCAGAGTTTCAGAAAGATGAAGAGAGATCCAGGGAGTTACTTAAGTGCCTGCAACAGCAAGAACCCCAGAGCACTGTAAATCTTATGTGACCAAAAGTAGCTGATTGACTCCAATGGAAATTACTACTTTTTTTTTTTTTTTTTTTTTTAAATTCTAGAGCCAACCTTCCCAATGACTGCCTCCTTCCTGTAGCTGTATTTCAGCTACAGTGAGGTTTAAGCGATGTTCTGTCTGTGACATAAGTTTGTGCGAAGTTGCACACATGGCAGAACAGTATTGCAGAGCCCTGCTAGTGCAGGTGATGGTTGGCCAGACACCACCTGGCAGTGCAGAGGTTTTTTTAACTGGTGCTGCACCCTTGACAAATTTCCTAGCAATTCCACCCCAAATCTTCAATCCTTCCCTCATGACACGTTTCTGCAGCCAGACGTCAATCCTGATAGTGCTCCACAGAACCTGTGACCTCTCCCCCAAACGCCTTGGGCTACCTGTGCTCCGTCCTCTGCCTCCCGTGCTGTCCTGAGAGCCTTGTCAGCAACTGTCCCCAGCCTACCAGCCTCTCCTGTGCTGGCCTGACAAACTTTCTTGCTCTTTAACATCTCTCTGGAGCATCAGGTCAGCCCTCAAAGGAGCCAAGTTTGGTCATCATACTTCTACCATCCACTGATGTCTTACTTGATGTAGAGCAGCTGATCTGTTGACTAGCTAAACCTGACTCTAGTGACCAAAAAATGTAAAAAGCCAACTATAAGGAAGGAGCACCAGGACCTCTGTAGCACAGACATCCATGACAATAAGCACTGGGTTACACCATATTTTATCTAGACTGGTACTCACAGGTGTCTGCTGATGGGTAACAGTGGATACACACACACTGCCAGAGTCCACAGTCACACACGACACCTTTCTGAACACGCGTTACGCAGCTTGGCACGAAATGCCTTTCTTCAGTCCGGGCGTTTGTTTCTCATACTGCCCGCTTACATGCGGTCGAGAGCGCTGAGAGAAATGCTCTGGGCAAGCAACGAGCAAACAGGTGGGCAGGATCCGTATTGACACTTCAAACGCATCTGCCCACCGGACAAAACCTGCATTTGGCTGCTGAAAAGGACCACGGCAGCTCCGCGAAGGCACTGCAGCTTGTTTGCCAGGTTTGTTTTTCAGAGGCAGCCAAGGCGAGTCCCTGCGGCTCGCAAACCGCTCACAACAGTGACACGCGAGCCGGCAGCCACCTGAGGTGCTCCTCCACAGCCAGCCCCGGGGGAACCTGAGCCAAACAACAGCCTGCATTCACCCGCCTGCACTACTGATCAACTCGGCTACTTCAATAAATTAAGCCCTTTCTTAATTGTATCGTCCCTTTTTATGCGCAGTGCTATCCAGCGCAGCTTCCCTGGCAAACGATGAGATCTTTCAATACCACCCTCCAAGTAATTTATATGTAAATAATAAAAAGCGGGTCCCAACACTGCTCCCTGCAGCACTCACCAATTAATCTCCTTTTAGCTTTTTACTGCTACCCTTTGTTTCCTGCCCTTTAGCCAATTTCCAGTATACTGTGCCAACTTTCCACTTAGTCTGTAGCTTCATATCTTTTATATTAATAACCTGTGATGCAGAACAGCCTCTCAAACATTTTCTGAGAAATCAAAGTGCTCATGCAAGACCATCTACTGCATTTATTATTATTTTTTTAATTTTCTGGTAGACATAACCCTCAAGGACTAAAGTGTGATGTTTGCTTCTTGAAACCACCTTGACTCCCTTTGATCATTCTGTACTTCTCTAAGCATTTGCCTTGCTTGTTCCTTTCAATGGTGTAATTCCTAAAGATTTCTCCAGAAGGCAGATGTGAATCTAAAATGGTCTCCTTTCACATAGCTGTGGAGTTGTCAGAAAGACTTTACTAATATAATGGAACAAGAAAAATTCTCCTTCATTACTTTCTTAGCATTTGCTGTTGTGGCTGGCTTGGGGTTCATCACCGACAAGGACAAATGCTGCTGTCAGAGCCACACCTCTCCTCACCAAACAGCTGAGCTGCTGTTTGAAAAATTTCAGGATGAAATTCTGCTTTTCAGCTGCAACAAGGTGGCTCTTGCTGAGCTTTAAAAAGCGGAATTTCCTGCTGAAAGCTTTCAAATGAACTGTTCCATTATGAAAAATAAATATTTAATTCCATGTCAGAGAGCCTCAGCCACGGCTTGCCTGCTTTGTGCTACTCCAGTTCATTATAAAAGGCTCAATTCTCTAGAGCTCACCAACCTGCAGAAGTCCTCCAAATCTGGTCTCGTAACAGCTGAGCCACTGAATCCTGATTACATTTGTCAATCTTGGCTACATGACTTCTCCTCCCATAGCCTGGCACTCTATCAAAGTATCATTTCACACCACCTTCAAATTACTTTTATATGCCTATTTCTGGATGTAGTCTCAGGGATGCTTACCTTTCCTTCAGCTTAATTTTAGTGGACATGGCATATCAGAGCTTTGTCATGCTGGAAGGAAAATATTCTGGAAACTCACCACGTTGCTCCCAACTTGGGAAAGGACGTTGTAATTATGGCACAGAAACAGAAGCCAGAGGACTTGGATCCTCTTTCTGTCACGACTCACTGGGTGCCTTAATTTCCTGTGCTTCGCCCTTTCCAGGTCTGGAAAACAGACATTTTGCTTCCCTACCTCTATATAAACAATTCAAAATCCAATGCTGCACAAGGGCCAAATATGACTGCTGCTTGACGCCACTGCCTTTACTTCCAAGTGCCAAGCTTCTCAGATGGCAGCATAAAGATGTTGTTTCTTAATGCCAGTTTCTATGCAAGGTGCACTGTCCACGTGTGGACAGAACAAGACAGGGAAAAACACAAGGAGATAAAGCACTGGGGCTCTCTCTGGGAAGAAAACAAAGTGATTATTAAGAGAAGGAGGTGCATTGGAAAGCAAGTTGGAGCATATGTTACTTCATAATAAAATTCAGGGCTTTTTCTGCCAGTATCTCTAAATTGAGGTGGCTGGTGCTCTGTCTTTCCTCCTCCTGCCCTCATACATTTCTGCTGAATTTAGCTGTGAAAGGAACGTGGAAACAAAGCCAATTTTGCTTCCCTTTCGCAAAGCAGTTAAGAGATCCTGAAACGTGGCTAGCATATGAACTGGATGTCATATTCCAGAATTTGAACACGTACAGACACACTCTACACAAATCAGAAAAGCCCATGAGAAGCTTTGGTTTATACACACAGACAAATACTGCAGCAGCAATTGGCAGAGATGATACTGCTGAGATACTGTGCTGCAGCCATTACATACCCCAGAAACACTGGGTCTCAGCATGCCAGAAAGAAAAATAAATAGGTAGAATTGCATCATTTTTCTGGCACTAAACAAATCCATCACAGTGATGAGGGCAGAGCTGCTGCCTGCCTGGCTGAGAACAGGAGCAGGTCCCAAGTGAGGGATACCACATACTCAAAGCAGGGAGATGGAAGGTACTCGACTGATAGCAAGGAAATACAAAGAAGAGGCTGTCTGTTGATCTCCCCCTTTTCTTCAGGGCCAGAATCTCTCAGTACTTTTAAAATGTTTATTTTTAAAGTCTCAAAGATGTTCTAAGCAAGGTTAATTTAATAATTTGGTTCCTTCCTAGCAGGATTATGTCACTTGTTTAATTCTCTCACACTGCTATAACAAGCAATAAATTCAAGGTCAAATACAGGGTATGGTTAAAACCCCAGCAATCCAGTTGACAGTGGACGGCTCTCAGCATTTGGGCCATGGAAGCACAGATTCCTCTTTTTGTGCTGTCATCAGATGGTTTGCCCTTGCTTAATATTTTAGGAAAAATATGTGTCATCTGTTCTTTGACGTGGGAACAGGAATGCAGCTACAGAGGAAAAAAAGCGATGTTTGCATGTTTCTTGTTAACAAATACATTCAAATCCCTTTGGAAGGCTTGATATCCTTCACTGCAAGGTCTCTGGTGGTCAAAAACTGGAATTGTTTGTGGGAAGCAAGTCAAAATGACAGAGGCATTTAAAACTACCCCTAATACAAATACTGCATAATCCCCTCGTTATGCTATCATTTGGGAAGGCATACTGTCTTTCCTGCCATAATTTGGTGTTTTCACAAAACCATCATAAAGAATTAAGAACTGGAGGTAAAGGGGCAGACAGATGGAAGCCTAAAGCACTCTTCCAAACCCCCTTGACATTTTCCTGCTTAGGAGTTGATCCGGTATCCTCAGCATGATGCGGATACTATGCTACCGTGGAAGACATCCAGTGCTCCCTTCTGGAGAACACAGCTTTACATTAGTTTCTGTGAAGGCAGCATGATCTAGGCCTAAAGGAAAGCTGGAGCACATGAAGGTGGGGAGAAATGGGTGTCTGCCACACTGAATGGCAAGGCTATGGGATAACCTTAGACCAGAGAGTGAGAAGGCATCAATGCTCTGCCAGGGATGTGGAACAACCAGAGCCAGGGCACACAGCTGGGGAATTTACAATATTCCTACTATGCAGATGTTACTAACATGCTGCACCTTTTAAACAGCAGCATGTTCTCTGGATTAGACCACAATCAGAATGGACGATTTGGGAAGAACAAATAAGCATGCTAAGTATATTTCTCTCCCACAAATCAGATATTTGAATGTTGGCTGTTTTACCTCAGGAGATGAGGACAGGAAAGGTTTGATGTATATATTGGAGTCGTGCACTTTCAGGTCATGGTCTCCCAGTCCTCGGGTTACTCCAATTGTTGCCATAACCCGAGCCTGGAAATAAAGAAAAGCAACGGGATCAAATATTGTTACATGCACTGTGTCAACATGGAAAGAGATAATGCTCCTACTCCATAACTGCTACGATTAGGACGAATTCCCTTTTCTCTCCCAGAAACTCTAGATTTAACACACCTAAACAACTGCAAAGCTTTTCACACTCGTGCCATCTCCATTTCCTTCATTATTCCAAGCTTCATATTCATCCACATCCCAGTCTGTGTACACACACCTTAGACTGCGACCATCTGTAAAGGACTGGGACTACAGAAACCTAACCTAGTTGCCTCATTGTCCCATGACAGTCTACAAGAGCATTCCTTCAGCAAATTATACTGTTAGTAAACAGGTTTTATAAAAAGGACGAGAAGCCTAATTACTCACCTAAAAAACCTGCAGTTCCTTCCTATTGACATATTGCCGTATATTCCCTCCACCAAGGAAAAATGCCAAAGGCCACCTTAAATTGCTGAACACACAGGTGACAGTGGCACTGACCACAGTGCTCTTCTCTGTGGAGAGCCAGTCTAGGGCAGGTCTGCTGTTAACTCAGGTCTACCACTTCCTTCCCCAAGCACCTTCCTCTGCGACATGAGCTGCCTGGCTCTTCTTCATTAATGCTTCTCCAAAGATGGTTGACCAGGCAGACAGCCTCACAGGGAACCTCGCTCTCTGCTGCCTGCGTACCATTTAGACACAGCAGCTTCTGAACAAGAGAGCTCACAGCATCAATAACAGTGAGCAACTGAGTCAAATTTATTTTGCCTCACTAACCCCTGGCTCCATGAGGCAATAAGGAAGTAAATTAAAAAGATGCGCATGAAACATTTTGCAAATAATTATAAACCTAACCAAATTCAGAGATAAGCTGCAGGTCTGAACCTTCAAAACTTGGGACTAATTTTGAAGAGCGTGTCTTTTGCATTGAGATAAGAACTTAATGCAGCAGGGGAGCACTATTTAGAAACACAGTGAGCATACCAATATCGGCAAACTGACACCACCGGCGTCCTTATATTGATCCTACTGCTGCATCCAGCTAAGCTTGCTGGGATCAGCACTAATGATCTCACTGTTCTTAATCACAGAGCTGGAAACAAAGTACACCCAAACGGAACTGTTCGTTTTTCCCTTTCAAGAAGAACTATCAGCATTCACACATCAGAAGAATTCAACAGTGAATTCACGTACCCTAGTGAAGAAGGTACAGTTAAGGGGTGTTCTACTTTTCAAATCCTGCCCTGATCCCCCCATTTCCTAAATTAGAATTTTGCATCTCAGAGCACTATTAAATATCCTCCTGCTTTGTTTTCAGCAAACATGAGGTATTTTGCTGTCTTCATCCAGTCTAGTCATATTTCACAATGAAACCTGGAACTTTTTAAGTCAATTATTTAAGATGGTCTCATTGTAGACTACTTACAGTGGAAGAAAAACAAAAGCAAACTAAACAGCAAATGACTGTTTGCTATAAAAATGTGTTTTAGTATGTTGAGCTCTCCCCGCCGCCCCCCAGACATGAGACTGATTTATGACAGAATCAAGATATTCTTTCAAGCTGTCAAAACGATAAAATAAAGAGATACTGAGTGGAAAACAGTGGACTGCCACAGGCTAAACTGAGTGGTAAACAGCACAGAATTCCTTCTTCCTTTGGTTTGAGAAAAACAAACATGCCCACCTTCTTGCCTTCTCCGTATATAAGGGGAAACTTCAAGTCATCTTCCTCAATGGTTTTGTATGCCCTGTGGGTGAGGACAAACAACATTTATAAAGCTTGCACTCAGTTAGTGACCCAGTGCCCTGAAACAAGCAGCTGTGATTTAAACAACAACAAAAAAAATAATTATTTTTCCTAGGGATTCTGTCTTTGAACAAAGATGTAAATTTCTTTTTCTGTGTAAAGATTTTCCCTAAAGAATTATCCATTTCACCAAAAGGAGAAGTGAACACAAGGAAATATCTAACAAGCCAAGCTGCTCCTATGGCTTGCAAGGAAAAAGAGGTGGACTAGAATAATATCCTAATTGGGTAAGATATTGTTGGCTATGGCAGTAGCTACACCATAACACAGTGTCAAAAAAAACCCCAAACCCCAACCAAACAAAAAGACCACCCCAAACCCATCAAGCAGCTAACCAATGACTAGATTCACACTGCTAACATGAAATGGTGAGCAATGACAGGACACGTACACAGTCAAAGTGTGAAACAGCTCTCTGATCCTGTTCTCACCTTCCAGGACTGCTTAAACCAAGACAAGCTTCACATGCTGAAGACTCTTAGAAGGATATTTAGTGCTCATTTGACCTTGACTGGGACAGCCAAGGATGCCAGAGTTTACATTTCACAGCAGCTTTCCCATGGCCAAGAGAAGGAAATGCTCATATTATGATTGTTTACCACCTGCCTGTGTACTCTACCTTTTACACATTCCAGCTGTTGACACTGATGAGGTGAGAAGGTGAACAATTTTGCCGGTGGGAAATCAAATAAAATAAAAAATTAAAAAATAGACAGTTGTCATTCTCATAACCTGTAGAGTCCTGTGGTTTGTATAACACATGCTCGAGTTAAGGTGCTGGGAAGCCCCTTCAGTTAAAGTGTGTTGCCCCAGAGGGACACCTTCTCTTTACACCACAAAACTGTCCCTCCCCAGCCTTTCCCTGCGTGTTGTCCTTCCCTCACAGTCCAACCCTGCCCAAAGCCATTGGGGTGATGCCAAAATCATCCTCTGAATGCATGACTCGGCGCTCCCCATGGAAGTGGAAGGGAGAAGCAGGAGGAGGGACTGCGCCGCAGCAGGTCCCCTGCAAGCCCTTGCTGCGTGGCTCTCCAGCCAGGCTGGCTGCTTGAGCTGTGGGGACTCGCATTCGATCAGGTTTAAGCAATGTTAAGTCTGTCACACAAACCAGCAGGAAATTAAAAATGAAGGGTGAAATCCTACATTGTAATCCAACTGCCCCCTGCTTCACCATAATACGGCATGGACCTGGGACCAATGAATGGTGCTGTGTTACCCAGCTATACACGCTGCATCACATAGGCAAGACTCTGACTTAAAGATAGTAGTATAGACATCTAAGCCCCACCTTTACATTTCCCAGTAATCACAGGTAAGGCCCATATTCAGTTTTGGGGATGAGGCGAGGGGGAAGAAAAAAGAAAATGCCCAGAAGAAACAGTAGGAGAGGACTCTACTCCTATACTACAAAACATTACTACATGTAAAATCCCCAAACGTAACCAGGTGAAGTTTTCAATACAGTGGGTGCATCATGGGAGACCACGTAGTCAAGAATATCTTGGGTATATAACCACAATAGTTGGGCATCACTAAGAAACAATATAATGAAGGCATTTAAATGGCATTTTGTACTGCAGAGGACAAATGAATTAGCTCTTAAACCAAACAAAAAGGCAGAAATCACTAGAAGTAGCCAGCATGATAATACTTCCCTGATGTTTAAATCCTGGAATAGCATTTTGTTGGGAAGGATGAGTCAGTCATGGACTTTGCCCTTGTTCCTTCCTTTATTTCCAACAGGGAATAACTAATATCTCTGCTTCACTCACCAACTTGGATATCCTGGTTTGAATATGGAGGAAGAATTTTACCATCGCTGACTCCTCATAAACACGTCCAAAAGCTTCCAGCTGGACCTACAGTGCTGGGAGCCCTGGTGACACGTCCTTGAGCAGAAGTCTGAACACTCTCCTATTCCTTGCATAGGCCCAGTTGTGCTCTGACACCAAGAAAAAGGACTCTGCTGAGTCCATGCTGGGCATCAGAGTCAAGTGACTAAACAAACCACAAGCCTGTCAAGACAACCACTCCTACTGGATTTTCAAGTTGTTGTACATATTTGTTACTAATAGCAAACAAGACTAAGTTATGAATCATAGAACACTTCCAGGGAGGGGACATCTACAGCTTCTCTGGAAAACGTGTTCCAGCATCTCACCACGCTCACAGTAAAGAATTTCTTCCTTAATCTAAATCTACCCTTTCAGTTTAAAACCGTTACCCCTTGTCCTATCACTACACTCCCTGATAAATAGTCCCTCCCCCATCTTTCCTATAGGCCCCTGTTAAGTACTTGAGGGCTGCTATAAGGTCTCCACGAAGCCTTTTCTTCTCTAGGCTGAACAATCCCAATCCTCTCACCCTGTTCTCATAAGGGAGGTGCTCCAGCCCCCTGATCATCTTCATGGCCTCCTCTGGACTCACTCCAATAGGTCTGTATGCTTCTTATGTTGGGGGCTCCAGAGCTGGACACAGCACTGCAGGTAGAGTCTTATAAGATCAGAGTAGAAGGGGAGATTCACATCTCTTGACCTGCTGGCCACACTTCTCTTGATGCAGCCTAGGATACTGTTGACTTTCTGGGCTGTGAGTGCACATTGCTGGCTCATATTTAGTTTTCCATTCACTAATAGCCCCAAATCCTCCTTCTTCGGGTGCAGCCAGTCCACTGTTTGCCCAGCCTGTATTTGTACTTGGGATTGCCTCAACCCATGTGCAGGACCTCGCACTTGGCCTTGTTGAACTTCATGAGGTTTGCACGGGCCCACCTCTCCAGCCTGTCAAGGTCCCTCTGGATGCATCCCTTCCCTCCAGTGTGTCAAATGCACCACCTGGCTTGGAGCTGTCAGCAAACTTGCTGAGGGCGTACTCAATCCCACTGTCCATGTTGCCAACAAAGACGTTAAACAGCACTGGTCCCAGTACTGATCCCTGAGGAACACCACTTGTCACTGCTCTCCACTCTGACATCATACTGTTGACTGCAACTCCTCAAGTGCGACCATCAGCCAATTCCTTATCCACTAAGTGGCCCATCCATCAAATCCATGTCTCTCCAATTTAGAGACAAGGGTGTCACGTGGAACACTGTCGTAAGCTTTGCACAAGTCCAGGTAGATGACGTTAGTTATCTCTTCTCTTCCCTTATTCATCAGTGCTGTAACCCCATGGTAGAAGACCACCAAATTTGTCAGGCATGATTTGTCCTTGTTGAAGCCATGTTGGCTGTCACCAATCACCTCCTTACTGTTCATGTACCCTAGCATAATTTCCAGGAGGATCTGCTCCATGATCTTGCCAGGCACAGAGGTCTGTAGAGTTCTCCAGGTCCTCTTTTTTACCTCTTTTTAAAAATGGGTGTTATGTTTCCCCTTTTCCAGTCAGTGGGAACTTTGCCAGACTGCCATGTCTTCTCAAATATGATGGACAGTGGCTTAGCCACTTCATCCACCATTTCCCTCAGCATTCATGGATGCATCTCATCAGGTCCCATGGACTTGTGCACCTTCAGGTTCCTTAGATGGTCTCAAACCTGATCTCCTACAGTGGGCAGTTCTTCATTCTCTCAGTACCCATCTCTGCCTTCTGTGACTTGGGTGGTGTGGCTGGAGTACTTGCTGGTGAAGGACTGCGGCAAAAAAGTTGTTAAGTACCTCAGCCTTCTGGGTAACCAAGTTTCCTGTTTCCTTCCAGAGAGGGACCACATTTTTCCTAGTCCTCCTTTTACCATTGATGCACCAATAGAAGCTTTTCTTCTTGCCCTGGCCAGATTTAATTCTGTCAGGGGCTTGGTCTTCCCAACCTGATCCCTGGATACTCAGACAGTTTCTCTTCCTCCCAGTCTACCTGTCCTTGCTTCCAGAGTCTGTAGCCTTCCTTTTTGTGTTTGAGCTTGCCCAGGAGTTCCTTGTTCATCCATGCAGGCCTCGTGGTGTTCTTACCTGATGTCCTCTTTGTCAGGATGCATCACTCCTAAGCTTGAAGGATGCAATCCTTGAACATTAACCAGCTTTCTTAGGCCCTTCTTTCATTCAGGGCTTTATCCTATGCTACTCTGCCAAGCAGATTCCTGAAGAGGCCAAAGTCTGCTCTCCTGAAGTCCAGGGTAGCAAGCTTGCTGTGTGCCTTCTTTTCTGCCCTGAGGATCTTGAATTCCACCATTTCATGGTCACTGCAGCCAAGGCTGCCCTTGAGCTTCACATTTCCCACCAGCCCCTCCTTGTTGGTGAGAACAAGTTCCAGCACAGCACTTCTCCTCGTTGGCTCTCTATTACTTGAAGGAAGTTATCATCAATGCATTCCAAGAACATCCTGGATTGCTTGTGCCCTGCTGTACTGTCCCTCCAGCAGATACTGGGGTGGTTAAAGTCCCCCATGAGGACTGGGGCTTGTGAACGTGAGGCTGCTCCTATCTGTCTACAGAGGGCCTCACCTGCTCGGTCTTCCTGGTCAGGTGGCCTGTAGCAGACCCCCACTGTAATGTCTCCTGTCCCTTCCTTCCCTTTAATCCTGACCCATAAGCTTTCTGTTGGCTCCTCATCCACCCCCATGCACTCCAGCTGGTCACTGACATAGAGGGCGACACCCCCTCCTCATCTCCCCTGCCTAAAGAGCCTGTATCCTTTCATTCCAACCCTCCAGTCATAGAAGTCATCCCACCACATTTCCGTGATTGTTGGGTCAAGCTGATGCGACTTAACTATTTGCAACCCCCTTTTCAAATGAAAAAACAAATCCACTCTTTACCTACAAACTGTATTACCCGGAAGATAACTACTAATTTTTCAGACCGAAGACCTCACTTTACACTGTCCTGTAAGTAGCCAAAAACGGGCCAAGTTTTCTTCCCTCTCTCCCCTCCTTCTTTATATCCTACTTCACAGAACCTCACACTGACTGCATTTTAGGAAGAAAGGGAAAAAAAAAAAAAAAAAAGAG